CTTAAACAAGAGTTTTATGGTGATAGCTGTGGCCAAAGGCATTAGTCCGTCCTTCTGCTCATCTGTCCAATTCTTGTAAACACAATATCTCAGGAATGTTTCGAGGGATTTTTTTTTATTTGGCACAAATGTCTATTTGGACTCAAGGATGAACTGACTATAATCAGTTCATCCAAAACTATATTTTGGTGTTTAAAGGTCACCATTACTGTGACATCAAAAACACCTTTTGGCCATAACTCTGATCTCTGAAATTGATGACCATATTTCACAATTGGCCAGACAATCAATTGGTGACAGAATTGGTCAGTCTGACCTCAAAATGACCTTGACAAATGTTTGTGATCATGATAATTTTATACAAAAGGTTAAAGGTCAACTTTACTACGACATCATAATGTCCTGGAAAAAACATTTTTTTGGCCATTATTTAACACTGTAGCTCAGTAAGAGAAGGGGAGATTGTGACCATATTTCACAGTTGGTCGGACATTAATATGGAGACACTTTTGACTCAAAGGTCAAAGGTCATTGTGACCTCAAAATAGCTTTTTAAAAATTGCATACTAAGTACGAAGTCAAATTGAGTATGTAGTGTGTTTCAACTGTATAGTATGTCATTTTGTGTATGCGAGAAATGCCCAGATGTATACTAGATTAGCAAGAATATCTGAATATGGCGTGAGCTTACTGCACATCTTCAACCGCCCCATAAAGCATTGCGTCTGTTTTGACTGGTTAATGTCGGACTGCAAAGTGGGCTTTTCACTACTTTCGAATGTTATTTAATCACAAAATGCACTTTTGAGAATATTTGGTGATAAACTGTTTTCGTTCAACAGTAGCTCGGACCGCAATGTTGTGATTAGTCTGGAGTAGTCACACTTATCTCACAGCCCTGTGTCAGTGCCTGTTGTGATCGATACAGTCATGTGATCCAGAGAAGACATATGTGAACAGTCGGCATACTTGGTGGAGGGTTTGGTGTGGCTCTACGCTGTACTTATTTTAGTGAAGCTGGACTGATCTACAGTCAATAATACTCGCTAAAGCCCCAGCTGTTTTGTTTTAATCAGATCCCAGGGGTTTTGGCCTGGCTAAAAAAGGTTGGCTAATGGTTGTGAGTGACCCACTCCCGTCCTTAGCAAACACCTCCCTGTGGTGTCCTGCAGAAAGAGTTAGAAAATGTCTACCTACTATCTGTACACAGCCTAATGCACAGCTCTAGACATTGCAGTCATGGGTTTGGTTGTGGTTTTCAGATGGCTGTGTGTTTTGCAGCAATGACAGCTTTCAGTATGACAGATCTTTTTGCAGCTTTTACCTCCTAGCTTTATTAGAACATTGACATTTTGATTGATTATCGAGCCTGATAAAGAGGTTGACACATCCCTAATATGAACCAATAAAAAATATACTCCTTGGTTCCAATTTTTGGTTGGAAAAATTAATTCTTCTCTCTTTTTAAGCCATCATGGATGAAATTGTGTGCTGGTGTAGAATTAGCTGCAGCCTTGTGTAAGTTGGCCTGTCCAGTGAATTTTGTTCTGAAAGTGACATTTCCACCCCACTGCAGTATATGGAATCCCATGGATACTGCATTGTACTGTTATCCATTCAAAACAAAACAAATGGCACAGTCTCATGCGCTGAAGGGAAACACACAGATTACATGACCTTGTCAGCGGCCTACATGGCTATGACATTATATTTATGCTTATCCTAAAAAGATGATCTCCTTTCAACAAAAGGGAAATGAGCTTTGAGTTGACTTTACCTGCCCTCGTCTCAACCTGCCCCGTCTGTCTAGTCTCTGCCTTCCCAAAAGGCTGATGATGCCTTTGCAGATCAGTGAATGATCAGAGGGCAATGTTATTTAGGAAAATACAGTGGTTTCCAAGGTTTACAAAAGATAATTCCCTTTTGTGACTTGACCTGTATGTGTGGACTACACTCTGACTGCTAACAGTATCTGTATTTTCTTATTTTCATATTAGGGCTGCACAATTAATCAAAATATCATAAAAATTGCAATTTGGCCAGGTACAGTATCCAAATTGCAGAAGGTGCAATGTTTGGATCAAAATAAAATGTGTGACAAAACAGTATTATAAAGTAATGTAGTGCTGCCCTGGCCTACAAATCTCCAGACGTGAGTTTGTTTGGTACCAACAACTGTCACATCATGATTTTTCTTTCAGTGAAAATGACAATTGTGATGCAAAAATGGTCTTTCCCACTTATTGTGAATCACAATATTTGTCAAAATATTTTATTTGGTTTTGATTTTGATTTCATGATAATTTGTATTTTCATACCTGAGGTGTTTTAGGAGCTAGCAGTATTCAAGAAAAGGCTCTGCCTGTTGAACAAGCTCCCAATAGACTTAATAATATGAAACCTTTGTCATGTACTGAAAAAGTTTCAACAAATAAGATTGAGGAGATTAGATTGGAGAGGCTGTTGCAGCAGCAAGTCATGTCGGCATGAGGATCAGCAGAGCAGCAGAGTCATAAATAGAGAGAGCTGGTCTTTATGTTTTTACACCAGTTAAAAACATATATATTAATCAATGTCACCCTGAGACTCAGCCAGACAGGGATCGGATTGGGCTGCACAAAAGCCATTGCGCTCAAGTGCTACTGGATGTAACATTATCCTTTATTTCTTTGAATCTATACTTGAGCAATATGACTGCTTCTACAGCCTTGTGTCTATGACGCTTTAAACTGGCTCGTTTCTTAGTTGCATGACCTATCCTGTTCCTATTTCATTAACATGCTGTTTTTAATCATTTGCTTTTAGTGGAAATGTAAACCCTAACGAGAGATGGATTAGTTGTCAGCCTAGTTTTTAGTTGTCGTACACACCTCAAATCCTTCAGTCCCATATGTTGAGGACATCACACCAAGGGCGTGTCCAGCCATTAAGTCTCACATTAAAATCTGGTTGATTGCAGTGTTGGAGGCTGGGCCATCACGCCAAAAAGCAAAGAGAAGACTAAACAGAAATAGGATTCTCAGTGCCACCCTGGGTTGAGTCTTAGTGCCTTACCTTGGTCATCTCAGTTAAACTGAAATGTACATGACACTGTACTAAATCAGAAGGGATGATATCACCTCAGCTCACCCTCCTGTTGACTTCCTTATATGTCCAGGAATACACTCAGAACATTATGCTCCAGTGCTTTTCCATTTTTGTTGCATTTGTTTTTTAAGCATCCAGAATCCAAGAGAAGGAGGAAGAGACGCGCGTGTGTGTGTGTGTGTGTGTGTGTGTGTGTGTGTGTGTGTGTGTGTGTGTGTGTGTGTGTGTGTGTGTGTGTGTGTGTGTGTGTGTGTGTGTGTGTGTGTGGTGAGCAGTAATCCTCAGAGACTAAAATCACTGTCCCATCTGGCCAATGTGTCATAGTCTGTGTGTAAGAGGGAATCCTTCTTTAGGAGTCTAGCCCTCCATCACCCCACCTTGTCTTACTCTCGTGTGTGTCTCATATTTAGTAATATGCTTCTCTTTTGGGTCTCTAACAAATAAAATCATATTTACTGTATGGTGGCCTCAGTGAGTGCTACATTTCCAGGTCTTTCTTTTGTGCAGAAGCGTGTAAGTTTCTGCATTATTTAGTATGTTATGCAAATAATAATAAACAACAGACACTTACATAACACATCCAGCATATGGCATGTAATCCATCTTGTAGTACACAGCATCATGTGTGTGTTTTTAAAGTGAGCTCGATCATGATGATGGTGCATGCAAACGCTCACAGTATCTCATATAAAAGCTTAAAAGATGTTTTCCAAGGATTATTTCTCATATGGTGAAAATACAGACTGCTTATAATCCTGTAGGGTTAGAAAAGACCAAGCAAAGCCCTTCATGAGCCTCTTTAAAAGTGTAGAATGGGGGGCGCCTGGGTAGCTCACCTGGTAGAGCTGGTGCACCATGTACCAAGGCTGCAGCGGCCCAGGTTTCCAATCTGACCTGTGGCCCTTTGCTGCGGGTTATCCTCTCTCTCCCCTTCCCTGTCACTCTGTCACTATCAATTAAAGGCAGTAAAAGCCCCCCAAAAAACTAAATTTAGAGTGAATATGTAAATAAACAGCACAGTGGTTTAAAGGCAGTTTTGAACAGTGTGAAGTTGGAAAATGTAGTATCCAAAGAAAATTTAAGTAATGATTTCTGAACAGAAATGAATCTGATGGAATCCAAATATCAAATAAAATGCAATAAACAAACTATTTTGAAGCACCTTGAATAAAATAAGTGAATAAAATATATAACAATCAAATAATCCTACTCATGAAAGGCAGTTTAATTATGGTGTTTTTTTTGGAGATAATAATCGACATAATAAAAATAATTATTAGTTGCAGCCCTACCTTCCTCCCCAACTCTACTCTTTTGCTCTCTGCCCTGACTCTCACTCCCACTTCTCCCTGCTTCCTTTTCTTCTTCCTCTACCTTCATTTAGGTGTGCTAGTAGTGGATGTTCAACCCACAAGGCTATATTTGTAGACTATGTATATACAGTAACAGATGGACCGACTCGTTGGAATGTTTCACTGTTGCTAGGACACGTGGAAACATCCTGTCAGCTGTTAATACAAGCAGATTGATGACAAAAAGAAAAACAGGGACAAAGTACGTTGACATTTTTGTAGGAAAACTGGCTAGAAAACAGCATATTTCTTTTATTTTATTAAATTATTAGCAAATTATTAGCAAATCTTATAAATATATGTTGGTATGCATTTCTCAATGTTAGACAGAAAAAATGTACTCAGTAGGGTGGTTCATGTCCGCAGCAAAATCATTGGTAATCAACAGAAAAGTCTGTCCGTATAAGACACAGTTCTTAAATAAATGGAGGTCAGATTCTTAAAACAATAATTATACATATTAATAATGGTTTCTGCTTTGTTATTTTTTTAGATTACTGCTACATAAGTGAGTGATATGTGGTGATGACTGACTAAATAAACAGTTTTCTCTCCCTACAGCTTCCTTATGGTCCTGGTGTGTCTCATCTTCAGTGTCCTGTCCACTATAGAGCAATATGCAGACTTTGCCACAGGAACCCTCTTCTGGATGGTGAGTACTTTCATTGTTCTGATATGTCAAACATAAAACCTCCACAGAACTCAATAAATAGGCTAAATCCAGAAGCATCTTCATAAGTCCCACATGGATTATAGGTTTTAAGGTTGCATCAGTCACGAGGAGCTGCTGTTATTAACGGTAGTTCTACAGAAATAATGGTTTTACAGATTTATCAGTTACTTCTACTACTAGTATGCGAGGCACTGGCCTGAAAGAGCCTTTACTGACACTTAAAAAAAACATTTACTGGTTTCAGCTTTTCAAATGTGGAGATATGCTATCTTATTCTATTTTATTTAACTGTAAATTGTTTTATTTCACTTCATTTTCAGAATGATATCATACTGGGCTCTGGGAACATTTTCTGAATTAGGTCCAGTGTGTAACATTTTGGAGGTTCTATTGGCAGAAATGGAATATAATATTTATGTTTCCATTAGTGTATAAATCACCAAAATATAGGAATTGCTATGTTTTTGTTCCATTAGAATGAGCCTTTTATATCTGAAGACACTGCAGGTCACCTTCCATGGAGTCCGCCTTGTTGAACCGCCGTGTTTCTACAGTAGCCCTGAAGGGACAAAACAAACATTGGCATTTGATAGGGGCATTCGTGTTTTTCCCCTTTTCTGCAACCACAGTAGTTTCTCCTTCATACTTAGGAGGGGAGGGTGAAGCCAGGGAGTTGCGATCTGCAACTACACCGCTAGATACACACTGGACCCTTAAACAATTATTAAATATAATAAATTGGTAATGAAAATAATCATTGCCATCTACATAGTGACATATGTAGGTGTTATCACTTCTATATTGAGAGAATGGATTTAGTGATGCTTCCTGGACAATTAAGACAGTTAATTCTTTTGGTGTAACAAACCATTTTTTCTGAAATGAATATATATTTTCTTAGAGAGAAGGAACAAAAATAGTGACATATGGTATTCTAAAGCTACTATAGCTGCACTGCAGTACTCTATTGTATCCACATGATGGAGACACAAGATCTTGGCTGGGAGGATTTCTACCCACCATCTTACAAGCTCAAAAAATCACTTTCTCTTATTGCAATTGCCATCACACAACATCTGCCAGCTTGTATTGCATTAATCCAAAGCCCTTTACAGTAACATGTATGTACTGTAGATTATTAGAATGGGAATGACAGGGGCCGGATTTTTTTTTTTTTTAACCCATTGTGACAACACTAATTATGCAAAATCTTTTGGCATCACACAGACTGCACTTGCTGATACTGGTAAATTGACTTTTTTCGAGCTTATTAGGCTATTAAGGCTGCTAAGTGATGCAATAAATCCAGGGCTTACAACAGGTAGAGAAAGTTGTGACGGCTGTTTGGAAACTCTACAAAGAACTTGCATCATCTGTCTCTTGCTTGCACACTGTGAATATAAATACACACGTAGCTACTGTGTACTCACACACAGCTTACGCAGACACCTACACAAAGGCTGCACATAGACAGACATGGACAGACACACAATCACCAAATACACACATGTACCACCTCCTGAGTCGTGGGGGCAAACAGAGGACAGAGTGGACACTCTGTTCTGTAAACTTTTGGCCAGTGCCCTTTGAAGATCTACTATCACGGTTATTCATTTATTTCTACACAGGAAGAGCCAAATACTCTCTATCATTATACCTAACTGTCTTTCTATATCTCTCGCTCTCCTCATTCCACCTTTTTTTCTGTTGCTTCATCACTCAAGAGACCAGCAGGAGTCAGCCCAATAAAGACATAGAGAGAAATTAAACATTTCTTCATACTAATTACTGTTAGTCTTTTCTCATGAATAGTCGAAACCTGTTTATGTATCTTGTACACCTGGCCGTGTTTGCTTGTGTATTTGCAATGCATGGTTTCAGTTCAATATTAATTGTAAGATAAGATAATAGCTTATCTTGTGTGTGTTCATGCTTGCTCTTATGCCAGTGTGTGTGTGTGTGTGTGTGTGTGTGTGTGTGTGTGTGTGTGTGTGTGTTTGAGGGGGTGGAGCTCTGTGAGCGGTGCCGTGGTGGCATATAGTGGTGGTAGTAACTATACTTAGAAAGTTCAGGGTTAACTGACATTCGTGAATCACAGGCTGCTTGTTTTGGAAGGCAGAGGGGACATTAGTCCTTGAGGATATTTGGCCTTCAGGGCAGCTGCCAAAGCAAAGCTAGCCAGCTGGGCAGGAGGCACAGAAGCATTTACACACACACACACACACACACACACACACACACACACACACACACACACACACACACACACACAGATACACATGCATACATCTCTTCCTCATCCTCTCTTCTGCCCAAGTCATGTTCACAACTCACCCTATTTAAACATTTTAATACATAACTACATAACTATTCTGTTGCCCTCACTGCGCGTGTAGGTGCACAACTATCCAGCGAGCCAAACGCACTCTCAGTAAAGGTTGAAGGCAGTGGGTTGCCTTTTTCACTGGAAGCAATTGTGAAGCTGTTAAAACCGCATCAGACAAAGAATTCAATGATGGTGATCAGAAATCAGAAAACAAAGAAACTGGATTCACAAAAGTAGATCTGTCAAAGAAGTTGCATTGTGCTTCAGGTCAGGAAGGAACAATGTGTCACCAATTAATCTTGTAAACATAAAGTCCACAAGAGTAAAAGCAAAAAAGAGTAAAATACACAATAGTTATCTTAACAGTAATTCAGCAGTTTCTTACAAAGCTGCATTAGCAACACATTAGCTCTAGACAGCTGGTATAGTGGCTAGTTTGGTTAGTAAAACAGTAAGCTGATCATATAAACTGCAAACAAAAAAACAACTTTCTCCTGAAACAAATCAGCAATCAGAAAGGGCATGTAAGGATTAAATAAAAGTTGCCTGTCAATAGCTTTTGCATCTGGAATCCCTCCCTATTTACTATATAGTGCACAACATTTACATTTATTAAGTGTCCAAATTATGAATGTGTAAATGTATCCATGTAGTGCCCTTACCTATTCCTCAATGGAATCAAAAAAGTAGTGTCCATAACATGTACACTATAACAAGCCCACAATGTAATGTGCTACAATTAATTAGGATAATCATGGTTTTCTGTTGATGACAATTATAACAATGACCCCCATCTAGCACCGCTGTTTTATCAAAATGTTTTCTTGACCAACCCCCACATGGCAATGTAGCTTCTAAATAAATAGTTGAATATCCATGAACGTTTTTATGGAATCATTTGGCTTTTGGTGACCTTGTGAGCCTTTCTTGAGTGGCACCATTAGGCAGTTCCCACTACAAAAAATATTAAAATCTAATGGGAATACTGATGAGAGTAAAATGTGTTATGGCAAATCTAGACCTAAGTTTGAGTGACCCTTGGTTATTGCTCCCACAAGTGATTAATTTGTTTACAGTAATTATGCCAATAAACCAAATAATTGAACAGTGTACTGATGTTTACAATCCACGAGAATGACATAATACTTATAACAAAACCACATGGAAAGAACCCAAAAGCCACAACTGGAATGAAGGATCTAAACTGGTTGATGAGAGTAAATAACTGAGGTGTAATCATTTTGTCGTGCTATTATTGGAGAAGTTCTAATATCTTTAAATCTGTCATATTAAAATTAAATTAAAGAAAGCATATGCAATTAATGGGATTTACTTTATTATCTGGACTACAACATTGATAACAAGGCTGTCATTTTGGGATGTGTACCATCGATGAGTTTGAAAAGCTTCGTAAAGCTTTTGAGTGACTTTGTGTGTTTGTGTGCATACGTGCACCTCCCTAGTAGTGGGACACACAGATGAAGCAATCTAATCACATTTTCATCTGATACCGTAATTCCCAAGCAGCTCTTTCAATGAGCTTCATCCTCGTCTGGCTTGACGAGATTATCGCTGCGCCAACAGGCGGCTGTTTTCAGTAAACATGTAGTTGCCAGTTTCTGATACACATACAAAAACACCCCAACATCTGGGTGACCCATTTTATGGAATTATTATGACTAATCCCTTTAAATTCCCCCAAATCATGTGTACCTTTGACTTTCAAATGTTACCCAGATGTCATAATTACTAAACTCAATGAATTGGGATTCTGCGGGCATTTTGTGTTGGTGCTGATGCTTTGTTATGACTGTGTGAAAAAATTTGAGTGACTGCTTATTTGTTGATGAACATTATTAACCCAATCATATGGAAACACCAGACGTTTCGTGTAGGACACAACTATGAAAAGTAACTGTTTAAACATTTGTGCAAATGCTAGGGAAATGACACCTTTCAGTCAGAAGCGTCCATTGGGTTATACAGTGTTATACAGACACAGCATCGGGGACCTTTAACATAGTCTGTTACTTTCCTACTCAAACAATAAGGCTATGGCTGGCTGGTCAAGTTCAGCTGAAATGGATGTTATAGGTAGCTTGGTCCCAGGCCTCTGAATGCCTGCCCAAATCTTCGATTTGTTCAGCAATTCAAATCTGAATGAAAGAAGTGAAACCAAATGGTAATTCAGTCTGATTATGAGGCTATGTTATAGAGATTTACTGAACCATTTCTGCCCGTCTCTGTCTTCAGTTCTGCCTCTTTATCTTTCTCTCTCTAACTCAGCGACAGAAAATGAGCAATTCATGGAGATGGATAAGGGGTATAGGAATCCCAGGCCAGACAGCTTGAGCAAAAAAATCTAAAGCTGTAAAGTTAATGAAAATGGGCAAACTGAAAACTTAGAAAGCAGCAAAACGGATCTCTCTGTCTGTCTGCCCTATTACTATGATGACCCTGATCTGGAGGCCTTAGTTTGCTATTAAAAATTGTTTTCCAAATATGCACAAATATCACTAAATGGACACAACAGTGAATTTCCTCTATGTGCTGATACTAGAGGAACACTTTTGCCAGCCATAATAGTGTCTGGTTTGATTGACAGGTCATTGTTTAGGGGCTCCGTGGTGCAGTGTTATTGCAGCAGGGTTCGTGGTATTAAGTTTCATACAAGGGGTGGTCAGGGAGCAGCCAGTTCAAGCAATCAACGAGATGGCCACCCACATGGCCTTAGGTTTTAACAGACAGTATGGTGGCTAAATATTATGTGTGCATGGTGGCCAGGATAACAGTCTCCGTCAGACAGGCATAATTAATCCATAGGTGCACACATGTATGCGCATAATAGAAAAAAACAAATGCACAATGGCTCACAATTTAAAAGCACCAACCTCAACACATATGCAGGTGCATAAAACTAGGATTCAAAATCAAACCCTCATTTGTCATTTTTAACTCTCTTCTTCAAGTGCTGCAGAAAGGTTTACAATTACAACAAAATCTCAACACCCAAACTGATTATTTAGCATTCTTATCTGTTAGGCAGCAGCGTGATGGCATTTCATCCCGTGGCTTCAATCACTTAGCCATAGACCCCGTGTCAATATGAGCTATCATCAGCCATGTTATCAACCTCCATCTTTCTTCCTGGGTGGTTGGGTGATCTTGGTATTACAAGACCACCTCAGTGTCTCTCTTTCACTCTTTCACACACCTGTCATTACCCACTCATATCATATGGTAGATCTTAGTGATTGATTATAATGGCCTTAGTGCTTTTAGATTAGTCTTAATGCATGGCACAGTGTTATCAATGCTTTTAGAATTGATACCATATCTACTTCCACTTCCTCTCGCAATTATTCTCTCTGCACCAATGGAATAATGCCTGTAAACCCTTGCTCTGTGTATGTATTGTGCTCCACAGGAGATTGTGCTGGTGCTGTTCTTTGGCTCGGAGTATGTGGTCCGGCTGTGGTCGGCAGGCTGTCGCAGCAAATATGCAGGCATCAAAGGACGCCTCCGCTTTATCAGGAAGCCCATATCAATCATAGGTGCACCTGGCATTTTCCTTTTCTCCCATTTAATACAACAGATGTCATGAATTGTTCTTGTAGATCAACAACTTAGATTATTCAAGCAATGTAATGGCTTCACTTTAGTACAAGGTTTCATTGAAACTGAAGTGATTGCAACCCTGATTTGATTTTTCTTTTTCTTTATCTCTTTCTCAGATTTGATCGTGGTCATTGCTTCAATCATAGTACTTGGTGTAGGGTCCAATGGCCAAGTGTTCGCCACGTCTGCCATCAGGTAAACTACTATTTTGTTCTGCATTTAATTATTTACTAATAGCTTGAGAGGGATCAGAAGATAATGAGATGGATGAGGCGGTGTTGTGTGTTGCAGGGGCATCCGTTTCCTCCAAATCCTGCGCATGCTCCATGTGGATCGACAGGGAGGAACATGGAGGCTCCTCGGATCTGTAGTCTATATTCATCGACAGGTAGGTTGAAAGTATTCAAGCTAATGCTATTAATTTAGTGTTGTTATGTATCACAAGGTATTTTTAAGAACCCAGAAACTTCAAATCAAATATCAAATATCAGCTCTTAGATGTCTGTCTGCTGATCCGGCTACATATATATATTTTCTTGTTTTTTAACATAATTTTTTAATCGCATATCGGATAAGAAAAGTAAAAAAAGACATTTACCCTCTTGTTGCATCACTTAGCTGCAGTTTCTTCTACAGTGAGTGCACAGACCCCTTCCTAGTCCTGCTGCAATTAACTTCTTATTAGAACAAATCCAACATGCACAGTCAGAAATACATGCACAAATAAGCAACAGCAGACCTGGCTTTATAAGGAGAAGAAGAGAAATCGCCAAGATTGCCTCCACTTCTTTTTCACTGTGTCCTGGTACACTTGTTTTAGTATTTTCTCAGGCTGATACACAATGAAGTCCGAGGATGTAATGTTCTTTTCTTAATCCCCAAAGAAGACGGTGTTCTTTGGTTATGGTCAAACCTGACATTCATGTCTCTTTGATGCATAAGAAGAACTGGTCTGATCAGTGAGGAATGCGTGCAAAGGTCAAAAAAATAAATGTAAAATGAATCCAAGATGAGCCTAATTTGATTTGTTGCCATCTCCCTGTTGTCAGATGACCACTTTATCAAATGATGTGCTCTGTTTAGTGGAAATATATTGCCTTTAGCAGTGTCAATAAGTTGGTGGAAAGGAATAGACTAAGCACATTAGAATGTGTGCTCACAATAGCATTCGGTCTCAATGTGCTTTCACAGTTGATTCTTCATTTAGGAACATTTACATTTGCTCGTAAATTAAGGTACTGAAAAAATGTTTTACAGGAAACATTTGATCTAAATCACTGAAATAATTGTTTCCATATTTGCATATTGGTGGACAAGGCTCTGTAGGCTTAGACACTCAGTCTTTTCACATTTACTACATTTATTTTTGCATTTATGCGCTCAGCCAATTGATCAGCCTATTCAACATTATGGGACTAATCATTCATACAACATTTTCATTGTTTTTTTGGTTGACTTTGTGTGTTTTTTGTATATTGTAAAATATACAATAATACAAAATATACAAGTATTGTATTGTATATTTTATATTATTGTATATTTTATATTTTATTGTCTGTTATGAAATTGAATATTTAAATTTTAGTATTAGGAAATGTCTTGTTTTATCTGTTGTGCCTGTAGAAACATCCTCTCGAATCCCTGTATGTCTGGTGCATGTGAAGAATTGACATTACAGCTGACTTTGACTTTTGACTTTGACTTTTCAGGAGCTGATCACCACCCTGTACATCGGCTTCCTGGGCCTGATCTTTTCCTCCTACTTTGTCTACTTGGCGGAGAAGGATGCTGTTGACGAGGAGGGCAAGACGGGCTTTTCCAACTACGCCGATGCCCTGTGGTGGGGTGTGGTAAGGCAGCTAAACTAGAAAATGGAAACACATTGTGAAGAAGAAGCAAGTGCTTCACTAATGTTTTTTGCACTCGTTTGTATGTGTGGGTTTTCTAAATTTCGTTTCATGCAATGCATATATTACTCTGATCCTTGAATGCTACTCGAATTTCCCACCATAGCTTACATACTTGAAAGGCCACATCACATGTACATGAAAAAAGATTCTTCTCTCTAAAGAGCTGTAACGAGTAATCTGCACAATGCACTCGCAAGTGGAGTCTTAACCAGAAAAATGGAGATGGCCGGCCACCCTGGTTAGACCAATTATTAACCTCCTTGTGTTTTTATTCTCCTCATTGGTTCTTGGTGTAGAATGCATGTGTTGCTGCAACACTTAACGCAGAGGCAGGTGTGTTGATGTTTTCTGAGCGTAGAGCTGGTTTTGCTTATTTCCCCCTGTACGGAGGCTCAGGTTTCCAGAGTAGTTAATTAAACATTTGAATTGAAAGCGCAGAGTAATGAGAAACCTATGGCAGCCTTGTGCAGGGGATCAGCGTGTCACAAAGAGACGGTAATAAACCATTCACCTCTGGGCTCTTTGGCTCAAAGAACTTTTAGAGCACCAATATAAAGTGTCAGTTCCCTTAATTAAAACTTTAATTGTGGGATTACCACCTTTATGTAACGAGGGTTAGAGGGGTCACAGTGCTCCTCACTGCTCTATGGAAAGTAGAAGAAAAGCTGTTATTTGTGTTGCTCTGATCACAATGTTGAGAAAAAAATCACGGTTCGGGATTTGCACCTTTTTGTTTTTCTGAGACTGTAAACTTGAGAGTAATGATATGCTATTACAATCGGTTTGGTCAGATTTGTGAGTGTTTGTGTGTGTGTGCGCTCATTGAAATGAGATTGCGCTGATTGGAGAACGCTAAGCTCTCTCAGTGTTTATGCCTTCTCTTGGCTCGATTTCCACATTCGGATGTGCAGGTGCGGGGCACAGCTGGAGAACAAGCCAATGCCATGATTCATATCCCCTTCTCTCTCCTTCTCACTCTCTCTCCCTCCATTACCTTTCCTGCTTTTCTTCTTCTTTTGCCAATTGCTTATGATTAGGTAATGGCTGTTTGATTTTAACAACCTTTCTAACTTCAACCAGGACACACTGTGAAAGAGAAAATGAGGAAAATGAAAGCTATCAGTGGTAAAAAGTTCCCATTTTGTAGTTATGGTGCTTATATACAATTTGGGTTTAATCACACACACACATATAGTACATATCCTGCATGTATGAATACAGACATTCACATGAACACACACTTACACATATTCAAAGACCAGGTTTGTGACCTTTGTGTAGACATGAGGAGGTTTTTGCCACACACCCTACAATCTGAATGAGAGGAGTGTTTTTGAGGAGACCATTCCACTCTGATGGTCAGGAGGACATTGTTTAGTCATCGGATTTGTGGATGAGGGATTAACCCCCCCCCACACTCCCCTGCCCCCAACATACACCCACCCACCATTCCCGCCCCTGCTCCTTCTTTTTTACTCCCAAAGCCCTTTTAAGTATCTCACCTTACATCAGCCTCTTTGTGTTCGCGCTCAGCGGTGGCTCACGCGGCGATACCCCATAGACACCCACGGTAAGCCAAGTGCGTTCTGAATGTGTCAGAATTGGCTCGGCTTTCAGAATGGGTGTACATGCAAATGCAAGAGGTATTTGTTTTCCCCCCTCACCCCGGCAAATTCCTACACTCACTGAGGATTAGTGGTTGGGAATCTTATTCCCTTTGAGGAGCAAGAGCCTCAAATGCACCGGCCATCCCTGACAGCGAGGCCAGAACGACGGATGATTTTTTTCCTTTATTGTTTAAGTCCTGTTATAGACTGCTGTGGTAAAGCTTTGAGAGCTCTGTGTTGACTGACATTTTCATTACATCAGTGGTTTTCAAGAAATGAGAGGGGATTTTGATATCTCTATGATGCAGTAATGATGTGATAAAGTAATGATTTAGCTTATTCAATGTACAACTGTAATGTTGAACACAATTATTTACATGTATATTACATTTGCATCAGTGAGGGGTAAAGGAAAGGATATCCATTGCATTAAAAGGGTTCCTCCTTACTTGGCAGTTTTTGTTTTAACACTGACTCTCATAAGCACTGTTTGCAATCAGACAATTTGTTTTGAGAGGCATAAAGTACAGCCACTCTCTAGTTTCCTGTCTCAACCCGCAGTGTGTGTAGCTTTAATTTGGCTGCAATCACATTAGCCCTTCCGTCCTTTTTTGTATCAGTGAGGAACTGTGCAGGATTTTCCCTTTAGGTCACACATACAGTATGTCTACAGTCTGCTCATGACAATCTAGATGTAAGAGAAACTTCATCCACTCTCTGTCTTTAGGTGACTGTCACCACAATTGGGTATGGAGACAAAATTCCTCAAACGTGGATAGGCAAGGCCATCGCCTCCTGCTTCAGTGTCTTCGCCATCTCCTTCTTCGCTCTGCCTGCTGTAAATATAACTTCAATCTGAATCATATGAAATTCATGACCAATAAGATTTATTAAACTTGTTTTGTTTCATTTAGTCCCAAGCTTATAACTGTACTGATGTAATGATAACAAATTGGAATTTATTCTACCTCTACACTAAATGTTACAACTTTAATATGATGTATTTTCCTGCTGTGTGAATAGATATGGTTCAATCTAATTCTCTCCAATTAGGGTATCCTGGGCTCAGGGTTTGCCCTGAAAGTCCAACAGAAACAGCGACAGAAGCATTTCAACAGACAGATCCCGGCTGCAGCCTGCCTCATCCAGGTAAAGTTTAGCAGTGAATGGAAACATCTCAGCTTTAAAAAGTGTAGCATAGTAATCCAGAAGGTATACATTAAAAACCAGGTCAGACACAGTCCATCAATGATTTAACAGTAGACATATGACCTCTATACCTCAGTTTGTGTTGGACCATGGACATGGACTACAACAAAACCTGGTCCGTATTATTTTGAAAGGTTCTTACTGAGCCTTCGAAAAGGTGAGCTGTGTCCCATTTGCCAAGAGTGAAGTGGTAGACGAACAAGTAGCTATGTTGTGCCAAAAGCTAACAATTACAAGGATTACAATTACCCTGGACACACCCTGAGACATAACCACAGTTTAGACACCTGTGACAGAGACACTTAAACGTCTGCTGGACACTGACTGATATCCACTATCTGTCCATGTATAAGAACATTATGGAAAAACAATACAATGATTTATTTGTCATGCGCAATTTATATACAGCAATTTGTCTGACACATAGAGGTTCAGTGTGTAACATTTAGGAGGATCTATTGGCAGAAATGGAATATAATATTCATAGATATGTTCTCATTAGTGTGTAATCACCTGCAAATAAGAATCATTGTGTACCTTAGAATGAGTACTTGTTAAAGCAATTTACACAACCCTGAATTTTTGGCTAATATTTTTTATTAGGTGAGTAATCGGAAACATTTTACAAGTTATGTGGATCAACGCATTGACTAACACCAATTCTATGCTTCAACCTGTCCTCCTCAGACACTCTGGAGGTGCTATGCAGCAGAGAAACCAAACGGCTGTGCTGCTACATGGAAAATGTATGTTCTCACTCCAGAAGCTGTCAGCACAGTGGAATCTGACAACTTCAGCCCTAACATCAGGAAACTGAACATATCGGTAATTATCCAGTTCACCTTAAATTCAGAGCCAATGCTATTGTGTGTGTATTTTGTACAGTTTTCAGTTGCGATTGATTTATTTTCTTAGGTCTTTCCTTAAGTCCTCTCAACTTTGTGACATCGTGGCTTTGAATTCAACCAGGGACATTTCATCATATATTTTTTATCTTCCACTGTTTATTGTGTCCTTTTACTTTGATCTATCCCATAAAGGTGAAACCCCACCCAAGAAAAATAATAGTCCCCAGCCTTTAAACCAAGGTCATATGAGCTGTTTTCTATTTTTTTTGGTTGTAGATAACTAATTTGCAATACACACATGCTATTTCTCATATATATATTTTCTCTTTCAGTAGGCATCTGAAAGAATGCTTTGAACTTGAGGTGTGGAACATCAAGAAGTCCACAAAAGCCGTCAGACTGGCAAACAAGTCTGGCCCACACTGTTCACCTTTCACAACAATATTAGCTATGTTGCGCCTAGGCCATACAGCATAATAGGGCAAGTTAAGTTCCCACAAACATACACACACGTGAAAGGACACACAAAACACACAAATACGTGCAATACAGCAGCCCCCCCTCCCCCAAGGCCTGACTCCACTAGGATGACTTGAGGCCTTTGTCTCCGACGGACAAAGACTCAGTCAGTTGAGATGATGTCACTGCTGCCTTTCTCATGGGAGTAAACCTTTGTCTAGTAGAACAACAACAAGAAAATCTTTGTGTAGCATTGAACCCACATGTATTGGGGAGAATGAAGGCTGCTTCCGCTCTTTTCTGTTTCAGCATGTGACTTTCTCCTCTTACTTACCTCTCTCTCTTTCCCCTTTCTTTTGCCTGTCTTTTCGAAATTCCTCTTATGTTTCTTCTCTGTTTAACAGAAGTTGTTATATTTCTACTTTAATCTTTCTGTATTCTCTCTTTCTGCATATTTTCCTCTACTCCTCTCTGCCTGGTCGTCTTCATTCTCCTTCACACAGGTTTTCTCTCTCTCCTCTTTTTATCAAGTTCTATCAGTATCTTTATCATTGTCCCTCTCTAACTCCGTGTCTGTTACAGTTTTCTTCCTGCCCATCCATTTTCTCTCTATTTCTCTAATCGTTTCCCCCCGATTTTATTGGTTTTGAGATCGTCTGGCCCCAAAATCGTAATCATGATCAAATTTCGATTAATTGAGCAGCCTTACTATTTTCTCTTTTTTTGTCTTTCAGTCTTATGACACCCACCACCACCTCCCTCTCTCACTCTCTCTACTAATGAGTCATTCAAACCTCGGGTATTTGGATTGAACTGCTGGCCAATTGTCAATGCCAAAGTCTGATCCATTGAGTCCAAATAATTGAGTTTCTATAAAGGCCACGTCCATGACGTTGGTGTGGGTCAGTGGGTCTAAGGATTGGCCTAGAGGCACCATTTAGGTCCTCAGAAACTCACTGACTCACAGAACACATAGCTATGACCTCATTCAAAGAAACTAAGATTAAACATGTACCACTGAGGTCACCAGTGTGCAAGCACAACATTTGGTAAGATGCTGATGTATAACTACAATGTGAACAACACAGGTACTAAAAGAAAATAATGTGTTTTGGTATTTCAGTGTTTTTGGCAAGCATGGCTTCTTGACACTTGGCTGTATAAGTTCACTTATAGAGAATATGTTTCCTGGATAATTTTAAGCACCTAAAATGTATTCAAGTGTACTGTGTTGCTAAGAGGCTTGCTCTTTGAACAAATTCATGTTTAGCTATAGTGTTACAATCCTTAAGGTCCAGTGTGTAACATTTAGGAGCATCAATTGGCAGAAATGGAATATAATATTCATAGGTATGTTTCCATTAGTGTTTAATTACTTGGAAATAAGAACTGTTTTGTTATCTTTGAATGACGATGCAGGATGTGGAGGCTGCCATGTTGAAGCGTCATGTTTCTACAGTAGCCCATAATATCTGACAAACAGAACATGATGTAGATAAGGCTGTTAGCATTTTTTGTGAACTGTGACAGAAGCTTGCAGGTGAACAAATGGTGGATGGAGTCTTCAGGCCAGTCTCATTAGGTAATATGGGGTCACCACCATGTCACCACACCACCTGCAAGGCTTAGATAATACATTGCCACTCGAATAGCATTGTGCTTGGTGGATTAATCTCTCGTTACACAAACTATGTGTATTAGGATGTGAAATATCACCACTCAGTTGGTAAAGGTAGAATAGTGCCAATTAGATACAGTAGCATATGTGCACAGCACCAACTCTGGAAGCAAACTGTTAGAGTTTTCTATGAAGAATGAAAGGACTGTCTCTATGTGGCTGTATGTTACAGGGAAGAATGCTCTGGCTGTGCGAGAACGGAAGTTCAGAATACAGAGTGGGCCATGTTCAAAGCTTCTATGGTGGAGGTGTCTTGTCGGTGGGCTTTGGGCTCCACCCAGGATGAACCTAGTCACTGTTTGTGTTTGTGATTTAATGGACAAAATCTCTTTTTGGAGAGAAGTAGTGGAGAATGTACAGTTTGCATCTTTTTATTGATCTTGTAGTTTTGTTTGCTTCATAAACCTCTAGTGCAAACTCTAGTGTGTGCTTTGCAGCCAAATGTAAAGTGACTGGGATGAGATTGAGAGTCTGAGGTCACAATAAAATGAAAATGGTGGCTTGTGTCCTTTAGCTTGGGAATAAGTTGCTGCCCCAAGTGAGGAAGTTTATGGACCTCTGGGCCTAGATCATGGATTATGAGGCTCAAAGGCTGATCAATGAAGTGATGGTAAGCTATAAGGCAGCTTAACAAATTTTTAGAGGGAAATCATGAAGAAAAGGGATAAAAGCTCCCCTTTTGACAGTGACATCCACGCATATATGTCAGAACAATATGTCAGTCTTTGTTCTATTAAATGTATTCCGTTACTATATGCGTTACTATTTACACAATTGGCTCTTTAAAGACTTGTGATTACAGTTTATCATCACGATTGTCCAGCACTTCTTGTGTATTAACTGGGTTGATGTTTCCTCTGTCTGTCAGAAAAGGGGCACCAAGAGGAGATTGAAGTCCAGAAGAAATGGCTCTTTGGGTGTGGCCTCAGACAGGGCTGTGTCGATCCCCCAGATCACCTACGACCACATTGATGACTCTGAGGAGAAGAAAGATGTCTCATTTTTCCATGAAGAGCCAAGGGGGGATATTGAAGGTAATATCATGGAACTAGCACTGATCTTTTGTTACTGTAATGTGTAGTGTCCAAACTGATGTCAAATACATTTCAAGGTTTATTACCACTTGCTAATTTTTTAGTCTGTGGTTCACTAAATCTAGTGCATGTTTTTTCAAAGAAATTCAGTTAGACTCTATAAATTGCCTTTCTGCCAACAACTCAGTCACAGACAAGTCAACAAGCCAAGATTACACATGAAAGCACTGAGGCCTGTTTTATTAGTGTTTGATTAAACTGACATCATTTTGGAGCTCTTCATGTTTTGTTCATTCAAAGCTTGACACCTCAGAAAGCCACATTCTTTAAAGAAGGTGTTTTTTGAATTGCATTGAATATCGTTGTGAAGTTATCTTTGCCGTTTTAATACAGTTAAAGGCCAGCTGGCAATGAAACCTGCGTCATATGGAGGACATTTGACGAAGTGAATTACTGCAGTAATGAAACAAACTTTTTTCTGTTCCTCTTAATACAGTTTTGTTTGATGAAATAATGTGTGTTGCGGACTGTGAAATGATGTCATGCTGCCTTAAAGGCCTTGGAAATCCATTATTTCAGTAAAGGTTTGATGTGTTTTTGCATTCAGGGCATTAAATGACCAAATAAACTCCGTAATGAGTAAAACATTTTATGGCTCCTCCTTTGGAAATATTAGCTGTCAGCTTGTACTTTTGTGTTTGTCATCCTTATTTTGATTTTCTGTGAAAATAAATACTGTAGATAAACATAATAAGAACCCCTTAATAATTCTGTTGCCAGCTTAACAAATCTAATAATAGACTTTTTTTTTTTTTTTTTACTCATTTAGGCCAGTAGTCACCATAACAGCTAGAAACTACATATATATTGCAATAAATGACTAAAGATGGTGGCCTCTTCAAAGGCAGTACGTTCAATCTCTCTGAAGCTATGTATTGGTAAAGATGATACATGTGTGAGCAAATATGGCAATGACTGAAGATAGGTACACTGTATACGCCAAAATGTCCAACGCTTGGTTTAAACTGGTGATAAATTAAGTTGTATTGTATTTCTTAGCCACGGCTTATCGACAACTCTTGCCCAGATTGAAATATTTAAATTTGATACTACTACAATTAGCTAAAGACATGACCTGGTGAATACCTGACTTTTCCTTTAACACAATTACAAAACAGGTAATGCAGGGATTGCCATTAAATTTGATACACATGATGAATTACTTCATAACTTTGGTGATCTCTTTTCATTTAGCGCCATCATCAGGTCAAAATCTCAATTTGTCCAAGACTCTGATTTACTACCAAATACCTGTAAAACCAGTGACAATCCCATCAGTCATTGTTGTTCCAACTAGAAGTACAAAGTAATTACATAATAGGCAACCTGAATGTGGTTTTTAAAGCTAATCTCTTGCAGTTTAGCTCTCTCAGTTCATACAAACATTGGTGACCAATGCACATTATGGGAGGAGTTGTTATGTGCTGGTTTCTCATTTTCACACAGTAAACAGAGGCCCTTAGACCCAAGATGGCTGCCAGGTGTCTTCAGTAGGCCAGATGGAAGCCATTACAGTCTCAGTGGAGATTAGAGGTCATGGTTACAAGCTCTTTACTGCTTCACTTGTCCCCTTTGCTGGCCACAGACACTCACATTGGGCTTAAGTGGAAAAAACGTTAAAATACGGGCTTGTCAGGGTTACGAGTGGGAATTTCTTGTTATACCACTTGCAGTTTACCAATATTGCTGCCGAGTTGTGTTTTCTTTTTGTCATCAGGCTGAAAAAGTGCAGACACAGTGATTGTGTTTATTGCACACCATTCAGTATCCAGATTATTATAAATTTGACCTATTGGGGTTCCTAACTGTTGACAGCACTCATAGATAACAATAGAAACTATGTTTTAAAAAAAATGCAGGTCTGTATGATAGTATATGATTAATGACTGGTTGGTTAAGGGGGAGGTGGTGTAACTTCCTGTGTTAAAAGACATCCCCAACAAATGAATTGACCCAGACTCCAGGTTAATAAATGCACTTTATGAGTTTTTCCTGTCAAAGCGTACAATCATAAAAGGAGCTGGAGTGACATAAACTTGACATAAAGGCAAGACGATCACTAGAAGAGCAACCACTTATGAGCGGAAAGGTTTTTTATTTTCCTGCTTAATTGGGTGGATCTTAGATAATGAAGGAGAACATATGTCCTAAGTGCATGTGGAAAAAGCAATCAAATGAAACTTAATGTTAAGCCGGTTTGATAGCACATTTTATCCAGTCTTCATTCTGATGGTTACATATGTACAGTACAAGTAACAAAACAAGCTGTCAACATGCAGATTTTATGTTCTAATCATTTCAATGTTTTGCTTATATAATCAGTCAATAAATCTACATGAATAGATACCCATGCTGAGACGAGCTGTGGACGGCATAAAACCATGTAAAGAAGCCTGCAGCCTGCTGATACTAATGATAATGTGTAGAGTTAAAACAGCGTGGGACTGTATGTTCTCTACTTCAGATCCAGCCATAAAACAGGCATCTGCAATGTTAACTGTCTACTCATGAGCTTCTGCTATCTTATTTATTGTTTTAACATCACTGTTTCATCTTGGTACCGAGCTGCTGGATTCCTTAAAACTAAAAAATACAAAGAGATGCAAATGTTGTTGTGTTTTTTTTAATGAAAATACTAAATATCAAACTAGTTTAATATAGCTTTTTTTCTGTAGGGGTTTATGAGTCAGCTAATAAATTGCATGAGAGTTCATTAAGAACATTGTTGCGGTAAAAGAAAATATACACTGACAGTGTAATCTGTGCTTCATGCTTTTCTCATAGTCTCTTGGATGCCTTTTACTGTTGTACATAGTGTTCCTGTGTGCTTTTTTTTCTTTGTGTGCAAAGAAATAATGGACACAACATTGACATATCATTATATTTTAAGTTAATATGGTGAACGTGTTAGCAAACAAGCTTGGTCAACTTTCATTTGGAGTTGGTGCAGATAGTTAAACGAAAATAGCTGCAGTTCAGGAGCTGATAGAGATTTTTGATTACGTTAGTTGGAACTGAAATTGTTGTGTGCTCCAGCCATGTTGCAGTCCCATATTAATAATATCCCCCCCTTTCTTTGCAGGAATCAACAGAATGTTCAAACAGCCAGGTGAGTCCTTCTAACTCCCAGCGATTGGGTTACGATGAATGTTGTTACACAGATGATGTTAACATATATTTTAGTTGAAACTCTGGTTTCATTGTAGCTCCCCCAAATTTCCATTCCATAATCGTTTGTGTTAAGACATAGGTTGTGCCAAAATTCAAGTGACAAGAAAACAACAATGAAGACTCTTGTATACCTGTTATTCTTTGTTAAAACTGCAAACACAAAGGGTGAACCTATAGTGTATATGTGATCACTGCACTGTCTAACCAGTAGCCCCTTCCACTGGTTAAGTACTTCTTTTTCTCCTATTAAAAACTCCTCTGTGTTAATCATTAGCTAGCCAGCCTTTTTAATGTGGCCCAGACAGTATTTTAATTAGACTCGCTGGCTGGCTGGGCCTTTGTCCCCAACCGGACCAAACCAGAGCCAAGCAGAGAGACTCAGACACTGGTCCCGGGTTGACCTGGCCTGTTTTCTTTACTGGATGCCCTGCCAACACCACGGGTGAGGAACAGGACTGGCCTGGCTAGGAATGGACAGGGGCCTAGGGGACCGTGGGGACCCAGACTGGGACACTAAAGAGAGGGAAAGAGGGAGGGGGTTGTGTGGAGTTGATAAGCGGCCATTGTGGAGCTCCAGTGGTCAGAAATAAACTGGTCATTGTTTGATGTAGTCAGTGTCCAGCTTATCGCTCCACTTATCTGTCTGGCCCCACCTACCTCCCTGTCTGTGAGAATCTCTCAATGGACCCCCCCACCCCCGCCCTTACCTCTATCCACTTGTCTTTCTTCTCTCCACTTATTCTTTCTTTCCTCCTCTCCTGCTCTTTGCTCATACTCTCCCAACCAAACATGTTTGCACTGATGGGCCAGATAACTACATGTTGTTAATAAACCCTTATCCTGTTTGTGTAGCCGATAAGCCAGTTCACGTCTCCTTCAGTGAGCTGAAGTTGAGGCTAAAGGTGGTTCTTGTTAGCTCTGGTCTCCCCCCTCCACCCCACAGCCCTCACTTTCTCTCTTTCCGTGTCTCTCTCTCAATTGCTGTCTCTGCTTCCGGATTTAACAGTGTTAGACAAACTCGATGATGGAGCAAGAGGGGTTTGAATGGCTTTAGCTTGAATTTGAATGGTCATTCTATTCCTGGGCACAGATTTGCCTCCATTCTTTATCACAATGGAGGCCTGGCGGTTTGGAGGAGAGACTTGTCAAACTCGGACTTTGACATTCTGACTGCAGGTCAAGACCCAGCTTCACATGTTGTTCTTTGCTGTTGCTTTTAGCCGATCCAGCCAGCCTGTTGCACTGTTGAACTGGAGCACTGCCCTTTCTGTTTCCTCATAAAAAATGTTAAAAAAAATATGAAACTCAAATACTTTTCCTCAGCTGACATTAGATAATTTCCCCCTTATATCACAATACATCGCATCCTTTTGAAAACCTCCTTGTTAATTCATAATTTTTGTTGTACACCAAACTGTTAAACAATTCAGAAGCCCACTGAGGAAAGAGGTTTTTAAACTTTTATTCTTTCTCCTTTTTGTCCTTCTTCTCCTTCCTTTCTTTTCTCCTATTTTAATTATTTTTGCATGCCATCAGGCCCTCCTCACCATTCTTGGTCGTCTTTCACTATGAGCTGCCCTGGCTCTCCAGGTATCTTTCTGTTTCTTTGTGGCTGTTTTTATGTTACTCACATTTAAATATATCTGCTCTTCTCAGCTTACTTTGCCTCAGATCCCAACATTTGTCTTATTCAATTTAACAGAAATGGATTTCTCTATTATTTAAAATAGCTCCATAGGGAAGGCAAACCTAATGTTTATGCATCTGGTAGCTTCAGAGTTATGTGCACATAACAGAACAGACAGAACTGTCACTTTTTTTTTCTATTAAAATGAATGAAAAAAAGATTTCCTCAGAGAAAATTAAGCAGATTTAAACCTGTATACTTGGAAACTTGTACTGGAAATATTATCTGTTATTTCTTTGCAGTCAGGAGGAATCATGATAACAGCACCTTCATCGACATCTCCCGTGCCAACAGTTTAACTGATGAGCTGGACTACGTGAGTGAGGACATTCCGCTGCCCGTGGTGACTAACCGAACACAGTAAGTCCCAAAAAAATGACCCATCTGCTCTTCTCTGGAGCTCCCATCTCTCTCCGATCCATCACCCTGCACTGACCTCCATACTGTGATACATATAATACTGATTTCCCTACTCATCATAGTACCTAAATACCTTTTGTCAGACCCAGAGAGCCCCTCTAGCTGCTCTCTAAATGAAGTTGTTTTGTTGAACTCTCTTGAGGGTTAAATAGACTCTCGAGGGCCAAGGCCATATCAGGTACAAAGAGTTACAAAGGGGATTATCCCTTTATTCTTGAGGGAAATGTCAAAGAAATCCCTCTCAATAGGTTGTAGGACATGTTAAGGTACTGGATGGCTTGTCAACACATGTCCTCATAGGACTGAACATTCACTGTTGTTGGTTGCTGTGTGAATCGTGAATGCGTTTTGTTGGTGTTCCTTCCTACCCCTGACCTGCTTTCGTAATGTGTACCAAAATGTAATTCTGATAAGAGTTTCTTTGCATCCTGTGTTAACATGCTTTAGCAGACAATGTTAATGACTGCTAGGGTTAGGTTAAAAACAATTTACTTCCCATTATTTCTCCACTTACTCCTGTCATTTCACGAATATCAACAGACCAGTACTCCCATATGGTGTTTTCACAAGTTTACACTATCAACAGTTACTACAGGTTTTCACATAGAAGCAAAGTGGAAAGGCTTTGCATAGACAACATGTCAACACTATTGTTTGGCTTAATTCTAGTAGTGGGAGAATGCTAGAGTGCCTTTCCCACTGGGGCTGACTCATGTGGCATTGTTGCATCCAGACTCGGTGATTACATACTGAGCAGGCAGGTAATACCAAGTCCCATAGGACCAAATGCAGAAGGTTTGACATTTTAATACATTGTGGGCTTTCAAAAAGCTTGAATGCTACATCAGACATTGCTGATTTTGTATATATATTGTTCCCTTTCATTAATAATAGAAACAGTATAGTTAATCCATTGTGTACATCCACAACAGCGAGCTACAACACCCTTTAATGCCTCATGTGACTGCTAATGTGCACAGAAAGCTTCGAAATGAGTGTTGTGGTGTGCTGTGACATATTGACATGCAGTATTTTTCGTATTTATATTGCATTTAGGCCTTTGTTCTGTATGTGCTTGTAGTGTATGTATATTTATTTTATATTCTTAAGGAAATGCATGTGTGAACTGCCCATATTTTAGCTCACTTGCGTCAGAGAGTTAGTTGTATTACTTGGTGTTGTTTATGTTAGAAAATCCTATTTCATTCATGTCCTTACAGTGGATCCATACTGTATATGGGTTTTCAAATAGACTCAATTGGGGTTTGATGTAATACCTGTGTAATCCTTTCTAAACTCCGCTCCACTAAAATTGCTCACTGCTTGCTCTAAAAAAAGCTGTGTTGTGTTTTAGTTTTAACGTTAACCCCGTTTAAAATGCACCGTGCAACGTGTATGTATGAACATTTTTGAGTATTTAAAACATTCGCTCTGCACTCCATCCAAAATTCTCCCACTCCGCTCACATGCTCTGCTTGCACGGAGAGCAGCTAATGTCAATAATCAAAATAATAATGACTGTGTCTGAGACTGGATTTTTCTTTTTCTTTCTTATTCTCGGTTCTCAGTGTGTGTGTGTGTGTGTGTGTGTGTGTGTGTGTGCATATTTATTCTCATACTGTAGATGTGTGTCGATGGATGTTGTTTATAACTGTATACAGTATTCCTGCCTAATAGGCATTGTCCATTTTTGGGCGTTTGGCTTTTCTTATTCATCCTCTACATTCTCCTCTCTGTGCCCCCTTTAAATAAAAAAATGTAATTCACCTTTTGTCCAGAAGAACACAGAGTCATTACCATAAAGCGAGAAAGCCTTACATAGTTTCCCCCAATGTCCAGTTCTAGTTCAAAATATCTAAGGGGTGATAAAATGCTCAGATCATCCAATTCTTTAATACATGTGCAACATTAACAAAAAAAACTTCAACCAGTAAAACAATAGTTATGAGCAGCAGAACACTTCCTCTTTCTCTTTCAGTCTTTTGACCTGCCCGCTCATGGCATTGGTCCAGGACTCTTTCTCTGCACAGCACTTGAATTCCACAAGGTACTGTACTGGCTCTCCCGCTATTCTTCTTTCTTATTTCCTTTCCTCCACTTATCCCGCCTTCCATCCACCCGGATCTTATCTGCTGGTCAAAGGGAGACCATGGAAAATGTCATCTTTGACATAGCACAGAAACCATGACTAGCCACTACCCAAACTCTTATTACTCATATTTTATTTTCTGGGTCGTTTTCCTTCCCTCCTTTAAGAGTGCTTAAAACTTTCTGCCATAGCCAAACATTTGTCCTCACACATGTAGTCAAAGTAATAATGAAATTGAATAAAGTGCAGCTGAATACTTTGTAAAATATGTTCAGGTATGAGTTTGTTTTATAGGAAGATGTCATGTCATGTCTAGTATTCTAGCCCTTGTTTTCCTAACAGAAGATGGCGCTACTCTTTTACAGTATGCAGGCAACATGCTGGTACAATATGCCATAAAACAGCCTATAGCCTGTTGTTTTAGGGGCCTGTTTGCTCATTGCATCAGTAATACAACCTTTGTTACTCAACCATCCAGTTCTATAGTATTTTAAAGCATTTGTGTTACGATTGGGTCTTGTCCCTTGGACAGATGTAGGAAAAATCAAATCCTTTTTTAAAATTACTTTCATGTTAATCTGTGTACATGTTTGTACCTGTTTTTTAATTACCTTTTTAAATGTGTGCGTGTCTTACCATTTGTGTGTGCGTGTGGGTGTGGAACCACTGGATGTTAATGCCTGTGTGAGAGCGAGTCTTCCAGCTGCAGAGACAGACAGTGTCTATTTGTATCCATTGCAGGGCTTCTGTGCCCATAACTCAGCTGTAACAGCCAAGCCCTGATTTGGGCCATGCTGGGCACATTCCCATAACAGCTGGTTTGTTTGCCCCCGGTGTCACGCCACCAAGGGCAGCACTGTCATTTGGCATCCTTATCTGGATTTCTGCTGACAGCTACCACATCCACCCATACTGCTTGAGGCGTTTTGCAAGCACACACACTCTGTATCAGTTTTCTGTTCTTTTATATCCAGGACTTGGGGTTTTTCCACAACTTCCAACCTTAAAGTAAATTTGACATGAGCTGGCGCTTTATCAGTTCAGTTTAGTTTGGTGCTTCTTTAAAGAGCTGTTATTCTGCGTTTCTGGGATCCCTATCAACTTTATTTCTCTGTGACAGCACTGGCTGGAAAGATTGTGTGTGTGTGTGTGTGTGTGTGTGTGTGTGTGTGTGTGTGTGTGTGTGTGTGTGTGTGTGTGTGTGTGTGTGTGTGTGTGTTGGTTCACGTGTGAGAGGCATCAATACAGCTGGCTGTGACGTCTCTGGGCTTCTGAAGAGGAAGTGGTGCAGGGCAGCGTCCGCACGCAATCATGTCTTTTGCTTCTCTGAACCCAAAACATACACACACACACACACACACACACACCTACACAAACACACACAAGCATACTTTTTTCTTTCTGAGAAGATACATCTTGATTATGGCCTTGTTTGTTTGTTTAAACCAGCTTATGGTGATTTGTTGGATTTAATGAAATATCTCAAATAGAAAAAACAGAAATCACATACACTTGTTTCACAACTGTCAACATAGTTCTTCCCTTTTGACTGTAAACAGTTCCTCTTTTATTTGTTTACTTGGCCCTGTGTAAATGAGGCTTGATTTTGTTACGATTCGGTTTGATGTGATACAGTGTGTGTGTACAGCAGTACACTTTGAGGATGTAAATTTCTGAGATTTACTGATTAACTGTTGAATGAAATCATAACAAACCCCAGCGGGGCTGCTGATCCTACATCCACCCCAAAGCAGATTGACTTTTACTCTCTTGGAGAATGAGTAAATGTTTCCAAGTACACTTCTTAGACCCCAAACAGAGGAAGGCCTTGTTTAGCTGATTGCAGTGATTGTGTCCTATCTCTCTCTCTCTCTCTCTTTCTCTCTTGTTATACTCTATATAACTGCACCATCTCTTGCCTCTCCATGTACCCAAAATATACCCAAAAGAGAAAAGAACTTTCCTGATTCTTTTCTCTGTCTAGCAGCACCGGATCAGCAACATCTGTCATCTTGTGATCTAAGGCAGTTGCCCCTTCCTCCTGCTGGGTGTGGCCATGTTCTCCACCCTTCTCCTCCTCCTTATCGTCTCCATTCAGACCTGTAAAAGCCTGCATGAGCCACCTGCAGGCAGCTCTTAATTAGTTCCTCTCTTACAATCTAGCAAGGAGATAAACAATGAAAACCCTACTGCAGCGCCACAGGAGGGATTGCAGGCAGAGACACATGCATCATGGCCTGTCCTCTTCAAGTAGGGGCCTCTCTCTGCTGAGCAACTGGCGTCTTTTGTGCAGTGCTCTGAACAAATTGACTTTTTGTCTGTGTGGCCTCTGTATGCCTGTCTTTTACACTGTACTCAGATATTGATGGCACAGAGGGGTGTTTCAAACATATGGTGTTTAGTCAAGAGAAAAAATATTAAATGGAAGTCTTTTTAAACCTTGAATATTGTCCCTTTGACAAAAGTTTGTAATATATAAGTTCTCCCCAGCAGTATGCCGAGCAAGAAGTTATTTTATGGGGCTTTATGCAAGATTCAACAGTGAATCCAATGTGAAAATATCCAATAAATCCTCTTAATATTTTTGGCTTTACTGCCAAGTATTAGAATGACAAACTAGACTAGGCAAGGGTCCCACTTTGGGCGCATACACAAGACACAAATGCACACAGATAAACGGATGGGTTTAGAGTTGTGGCCTCCTGCCCTGCAGCAAGAAAAGCTGCCCGGGTGCTGCCGCTTTATGAAAAGATAGTGAAAGAAACTAAGAAAGAAAAGAACAAATTGTGCCCCAGTTTCTTGACTTTCTGCCAATTTCTAGAGCATAAAAAAGACAGAAAATAGTCTTGGTGCAGTAAAACAGCCACACACTGATTCATATTCTCTGGACAGCAGAGCTGTGCATGGAGGGATTCAGTAGTTAATCTCATTACAGACTCTGGGCTTTTTATGCGGTTGCTGACCTCCACTCTACCTTTACTCACTTGGACATATTAGAATTTGTTTAATTGCTCTCACTTTTCCAAAATACAACCAGCATAAATGCTACAGTTACACTGGCAGTAGAGTACAGTCAAAATTGAAATTGGCTTGTTCTTACAGGCAGTATGTTGGTTGGGAGCATTGGGGTTTGATTGCTGCAGTGTGTGCAGGCCTGTTGTCAAAACTTTAACACAGATGCTCATTTCTCCCATTGTGTTGTGTTTGCATTGGGTAAACAGTGTTATGCGATTAGTCGGAACAACTCGTGGGATATTTCTGCTTAATCTGTCTGTTATTGTATTGTAATCTTTGTTATTGTTTCATTGTTTTCTGGCAGCTTGGGGAGAAATTCATCTTCTTCATCTTCTGAATCAGCTCTTACTTACCATGTTTTTTCTCCATTGAGGTTCAGTGAATTACAATGCCCAAGAACATTATAACAATGCATGTGGTGATTCTAGTTTTCTGAATATGCAAAATTTAATACAGAAAATCTTATTTATAAGTACTCAAGTCAAAGCCAAAGCCACCAAAGTCTGGTGGGTAGCTTTGACATACAAAGCTCTATCCCCTTTGAGTTACCTAACTGAAAAACAGAACCACCTCCACGAACAGAACTACAGGTTGCTTTTCAAAATTCTTGAAAAAAAGTTATTACTTTGTAGAGTAGTTTTAGCCACAACAATCAATCAGTACAAGGGAGGTCATGGTCGTGGTCCAGTGCTACTGTGCAGCTTTACCCATTCCTACATAGTGGTTTGTGCCCTCCGCAATTTTATAGTAACTGTCTTATTAAGGTTTCATAGCATGTAAGTATTGTACTCGTAATCTTTCTGATCTTCATCGTCATTCCGAACTAAAGCGTTGGTCAGAAAGAATGAAACTGAATACGTTTTACAATTGTAACTGCAGTTCAGTCAATATGGGCTCTCTGTCACCTCAAATCTTGGTTTAAAGATTATTTTGGAGCAGGCTACACAATGGTGGGAATGTTTTATATAGGGCTAGCACACCGTACATCATTCCAGGCCACAAGTGACTTTCCTAGTATGATTTAATTTGCACATGCACAATACGGAGAATATACAGCATGGCTCACTGCAATAAAAGTCATCAGGTTTTTATCTAAACAGTATTTAATTTTTGAGTGTTGTATATATTACCTAAATGGGAGATATGTGATACTTAAATGCACATGTGAAAAAAGTAACTAATATTAAATATTACTTGTAAAACAAGTTCCTGGCAGGATCAGGGCACACTAATCTAAATCACACACTGTTTACTACAGAGATGATGCTGTGTGTTTACATTTTTACTGTTCTTTCACAGAGAGAGGTCATTGGCCACTGGAGCAAATTCTCCTACCAGGAGCCATAAAGAGAACCATCTTTTATGACATATATATGTCACACCCAATGCGATAAAAGTTTTCATGAAGTACTTAATTAAAGAGTATCTTCAGTTGGGTTTGACACTGGCCATCCGGCATTAATGAAGGCCCTCGTGCTGCTCTTATAAGGGGTGAGAGTGTTTACTCCCCCTCAGTGGTGTTGGTGGTTCTGGGAGAGTTTTATGGCGAGGGACCATCAGTGACTGGGAGAATGGCCCACTTTATGGCCTCTCACCACAAGTTGGAAAATCTAGTGACTCAGCAAGCAAGTACTACATAAATAAACCATCCAGACCAAATAAAAAGATACACACACCAACATCAACTCTATCTCTTTCCAGATTATTGACTGGTCTGTGTGCAGTGGTTGGAAATGATATGAGCACCATTTTGGCTCTATCAGCTCCACTTAAATCTGCCTGGAGTGGTAGATTGAAGTGAGCCTGTCACGGCATTCTGGTTTAGTAAGTATCCTGGTGTGGTGCAGTGGATCAGGGTTCAATCCAAAATCAGCATGAGTAACTACACATGGACCAGGCCCAACTGAGTCAAAGCCAAAAATAGTTCATATTAGTTGACAGTG